ATCCCGTCGTGATCACCGTCGCCATCCTCCTGACGTGTGACATGCGATCACCGGCAAGGCCATCCCTCGACCGGCAGTGGCGCGGTTGTGAGGACGTCCCGAACAATGGCGCGCATATAGCACGAATCAGGCACCCCCTTGCCCTGCAGCCCAGGCGATGATAGCACAACTCAGATGTGATGGGGGCTGGGATTCCCCGGCCGGTCGCTGATTCGGCCGAGTCTCGATTTTAGCGTTCTGGTCTGTGTTATCAATTCCGTGCAAAGTATCAGCATCATCAACATCGCCATCAGATTCATCATCATCATTATCATCAGCAGCAGCATCATCATCATTGTTCTCATCATCATCGTCATCATCTGCGACATGATAATGTTCCGCCTCGGCCTCAGCGTCCACAACAATAATTTCGTATCCGTATTGTCATCCTCCTCCCTCCACGATTATGCCTAGCGTCATCACCCTGATCATATCGTGACAGCAATCATCCTCACCACCACCACTACCACATTCATCCATCTTCATAGTCCACCATCCCTCCCTCCTTTCTACTCCCCCTCATTCCGTCCGCCATCCTCATTTGCACACTGCCGCCCTATCCACACGACCCCGTCCCTCTCACTCTCCCCTCCGTTCGTGGTCGGCGTTAGAAGGGGATGAGACCCGGAAGAGGACGATGAGGTTGAGGAGGACGAGAAAGAGTAGGAGAAAGAGGAGAGGTAATCGGACATGGAGAAAGAGGAGGACGGAGATCAGATGTGGGAAGCCAGAGGCGATGTCGGTGGACAGGAGCGGGTGCAGGAGGAGGAGGAGAGGGAGGAGGAGTTTTCATGACGCGGTGGAGGGAGGAGGACTCTGGACTCGAAGGAGAAGGGAAGACACATCACAGGGGGGACGGGGGAAGCAGGAGAGGAGGAGCAGGAGGAGGCGGAGGCGGGAGAGGACGAGGAGAGGGAAGAGGAAGAGGAGGAGGAGGAGGAGGAGGAGGAGGAGAAGGAGAGGGAGGAGGAGGAGGAGGAGGAGGAGGAGGAGGACAGGGAGTACCCATGTATGCATACTCTACCATAGTTGGAACATCGTGTGGCTTGTATTGGATATCTTCTCCGAGCCTTTAGTGTCCGATTTCTCGTCCCACACTGCAAATCTCCAGGAGTGCGGTCGTCAGCTAAAGCTTGAGTACGCGCAGTATGCGCATGATGGTTCTTGTTGTCATGATTGGTTTCGGACCCTTTCCTGAAGCTGCACTTCGTATGGATAGTGAACAAGCCGTTCTGGTTTCGCAGAGCTTCTCACATTGTCCATGTTGTTTAGGTGATGGTGTCCTCTTTTTCTCTTCCTTTTCGTCTTGCAGTGCCTGCATTGTTGCACGAGGCTTGGTGACAGTCGCCGCCGCTGCCGCTGCCGTGCGATTATGACAGAGGTGAGTCATGTTAGAACATCAGGCGTTGAGCATCAGTGCAGTTGGCAGTGGGCACTCTGTGCCAGCAGTGTTGTACCAACAGTGTGAGACGAGATTGCATGTTGTAGGGTCGAGGCAGAGGAGTGAGCCATGTGGAACTCAGACGAACCCAGAGACCTGTGGGGCAGGGAACTACGCCATACGGAACTCAGACTGGGGCATCAAGTTCGCAGATGGTTGGGCCGCATACGATCGAGTTGACCAGCCCAAGGGCTACCACTCCTCCGACAATGGCGCGATCCACCTTCATCTCCTGCGGTGGCTGCGCATCTCCAAATGGACGCTCTGCGCGTACATGTGGGACAACCTCAGGACGGCGATCGACGTTCGATCAATGTTCGTCGTTCGTTGTAGTTACGTACTTATGGACTCCCCCATTCCTACATATGTCAGGCGTTTCTTTCTATCTGAAGGATCGGGGGTGGACAGAACCCCCAACAGTGAAACGTCGATTAGTGAATTGTCCGTTTTCGGCTCTCGAGAGGGCGCCGTGGCCGTTATCTTCCAGGCTCGCGCCCGCCAGGTTTGGGCCTCAGGTCGTTTTCACTAAACCACGGTTTACTAAAGGGGGGTCTGTCCATCCCCGAAAGGATCGGATAGCGTCCCCGTTTCCGGCGGGTCTTACTCTGTGTTCTTATTTTCTTCCGAACGGTGAGTGCCCCTGCTGCTGCTCCCCATTCTGGGCGCCAGAGTTAGCAGGGCATGGACAGAAGCTCGGTCCCGAGGGCCAGACAAGTAGCCGTACCGTCTCGTTTTTGTTCCCTCGTGGGGTTTGGCCGCTTACGCGTAAGAGTGGCCCGTCGCCAACGCGACCGTTGACGCTCGGCTTTTGGGGGGCTCGGGGCAGTCAGGCAAGCTCAAGCATGCAGGCCGCTACTGCCTCATTGTGCGTAGCGATCAGAAAGCGCGCCAGCGGTCACTCTTGCCTGGGGTCGCTCGTCTTGCGTGCACCTGAGTTTGGGGGGGAGCAGGGATCGCCCATCAGGGGGAATTCCATGAACCTCGACGAGTATTTCCAGTTCGTGTCCTGCACACGGCTGCTCATGGGCGCTCCTCGCCGCTGGAAGTTGGACGGGCAGTACCGCGTCACAATCCTGCCCCGGGGGCATTCGTGGTCCGTCGACGGCGGCACGGTCAACGGGAAGGTCTCGTCCGTCGGCCCCGTGTCGCACCACGGCCAGAAGACCAAGGATCACGAACGACGAGCATAATTGTCGGGAGGAACCTGAAAAACGCGGGTGGATGAGTTTCGTTGTTAAGGCATTTGGATTCGGTTTTCGGGCCACAGGAGCGTCGAAAATCTATCCGTAATGAAGAAGTGCTCGGTGGAGCCCCACAGGAGGGGTCAGGGGTCCGATTTTGAGCAGAGTTCGTCGAGTACACCCCTATCCGTGCCCTCGCAGTCTGGAGGGTGGGGGGCAGGGTTGGGACAGAGATTGAGGCAGGGGACAGGGGAGGAGGAGGAGGAGGAGGAGGAGGAGAGGGAGGGGGAGGAAAAGGAGGAGGAAAAGGAGGGGGGGGAGGTTCAGTCAGGTTCGGGCGGAGGAGAGGAGGAGGCGGAGGAGGAGGAGGAAGAAGAGGAGACTGAGCAGAGCAAGGAGCTGAGGAGCCCCCCCCCGCTCTGGCATCGCGCGCCTGTGCTGCCTGCCGCCGACAACACCGCAATGCGACTCGTGGTCCCGCGGGTGTGCTCCCGCGCGGGGCGTGTAGCCGGGCCTCCAGGCCTCGTGAGGGGTGCTCTGGACCCTCCAAGCGGTCGCCCAAATCCTCCTCCTCATCATCTCCTCCTCCTCCTTCTCCTCCTCCTCCTCCTCCTCCTCCTCCTCCTCCTCCTCCTCCCCCCCCCCCTACCCCTCGTCGTCGTCCTCCTCCTCCTCCTCCTCCTCCTCCTCCTCCTCCTCCTCCTACCCCTTGTCGTCGTCCTCCTCCTCCTCCGCCTCCTCCTACCCCTCGTCGTGCTTTGGCCTCCGGATCTCCGGCGACGATGCGGTTTCTTCGACGATCTTCTGAACGCGTGTTAGCCCAATGTGTATTTCGGGGGTGGACAGACCTCCTACCCTGACACGTCGATTCAGGAAGCGGCCGTGTTCGGTTCGCGAGGGGGCGTCGCGGCCGTCTTCTTTGCGGGTCCAGGTCCGTCGGTTTCGTTCCCAGGCCGTTTTCACCAAGGGGAGGTTTACTAAAGGGAGGTTTGTCTACCGCCAAGTGTTAACCCGAGTAAGCGATTAAGGACCCCCCCCCCCCTCTCCGGTGAAAGGATAACGCACCCGGCACCCGGAAGCGTTATCCTGGCACCAGGAGGGGGTACACCAGATCGCACGGGTCCCACGGAGTCCCGCAGGTCTCGCAGGTCCCACAAGTTTCAAAGTGGTTCCCGTGTGAGGTCCCACAGGTCCCACGGGTGTCGCAGGGGAGGGGCTTCTTAATCGCTTTTCCTTATTCGTATTCGCATTCTTATTCTCATTACAATTCTAATTGGGATGCCACCCGAGGCGGGGCGCTGGAATTATTTATTTTCCTTCCATTTGCGCGGTGCTAATAATATCGCTCGGCGAAAACCCCCCAAATAATTATTTAATTACGGCGCGGTGCTAATGATAACGCCGGGGGGGTTCTTAATTGCTTCTCCGGGTTATCTTCCACCAGCGCCGCCGATAACTCGCAGCTCTTGACAGTCAGCAGTGCGCAGAAGCAGGTGTTGCGAGGGGCCTCATCGGGGCCCGGCAGGAGTCATCTTTTCGATGCGGTTCGCCTCTTGCCCTTTCAGAATTGACCCTCAGCTCCTCCTCCCGTCTTCATCGTCCTATATCCTCTACCTCCTAAATCCCGTTTCTCCTTTTCCCCGTTCTTGCCCCTTGTTTGTCTCCGCCGACAGCTGGTGCACATTACCGACTTAACTTTCCGTTACCGACGTGACCTTGTCCATCAGTAAGGGTGGTTGCTGACGTAGAAATAGCATCGTGATTTTGGTCGATCCGAGAAACCGACGTAAGTTCCCGTTACCGACGTAACGTTTCCGTTAGTAACGGAAGTCCCCCGTTGATAACGTAAACGTTCCGTCGATTCCGTCAGTTCCGTCAGTTATTTGCGCGGTGTGTGGCAGAGTTTGGTTCCCGCGACGCACGAGGGACACGTGCTTCTCCAGTCCATCTAATCTGAGTAAGCCGCGTACTCCGCACTTAATTTCACGCGCAGCACCCTCGATCCACCAGCGTGCCGAGACGTTTTGTGACGCGCGCAGATGTGCGTTTACACAACATGCAATTTACCGAAGGGCTTGGTGGATAAACACACGTGAGCGTTAACACATGTTCTGAGGCTCATCGATTTTTGTTTTGGGAATCCGGGGTTTTTTCCCCTCGGCTTCGGCTTCCGCGTTTGGATATCTGGCCTCAGGACCTTAAAAACGGATCCAGGGCGAAACATTTGCCTTGGGGGAAGTGGTTGGGACTTCTGGGCCCGCACATTCAACCAACAGAAAAAACGCATCATCGGATGTTTGGGGAGGCCATCTGGACCTCATTTGGAAATCCTGGGGACGCTTCAGCGACCACGCGAGGTACCACAGCAACCGGATTGTCTGGTGCTTTTACCAAGTGCATTTGGTCCCGTTGTTGTTGCGATTGTTAGTGGTTTGAAGTGTTTGTTTGTATTTCTTGTTTCAGAGGTTATCATTTGGTTTGGTCTGCATTTGGATGGGTCCGCCAGGCTTTCGCCTGGTGCCCAGTTGGTGGCCAGTCGTGGGCGTCTCTTGGGCGTCCCGTGCGTTGGGTGGGTCCGCCAGGGGTTGGCTTGGCGCCCTGTTGGTGGCCAGTTGTGGGCGTTCGTGGGCATCCCGTGCGCTGGGCGGGTCTGGCTGGGTTTGGTGTTGCACCCGCTTGAAGGGGAGTCGTGGGCGTCACGTGGGCGCCCTGAGCGCGAGGTGGGTTCGCCGTTGTGGACGCCCGTTTGCGCCCACGCTGTGTCCGTTGTGGAGTGCACCATGCACCATTTAGGTTGCACCGCCACATAGCGTGCACAAGGAATGTTGGCACCACTGCACACATAGATCCTCCTTTCTAAAAAGAAGATAGGTTCTACCACCCTCCCCCCCCGGGTCAAAGACCCCCCGGGAACTGATGCAATGCCCATCTTGCGAATTCGTACTATCCCAGCCAAACCGGTATCGCCCCCCCCGCCAGCTTCTGCAAAACATATTATGCGCGCACATTCGGTTATCAAAACTCATAAGTGTCCAAGAATATGTTGCAAACAAACAAAATGGACGAAGTGCGCACGCGCGCGTCGTCGCGCATGCATGCCGAAATCCTACAAAATTCGTTTGGCCTTGAAAAGGATTTCAAAATTGAGCTTCCAAAGAAAAACAGACAGAAAACATGATTTCGCACCAGTGAATTGCTAAGAAAGTTTACGCGCGCGCTCTTGCGTAATCTTAAGAAAACCATATGTGTTTCAAGATGTTCACAAAGCGCGCGCATGTCGAAATCGTTCGAACGCCCTTGCGCGCGTGCCGTCGCGAGAATCCTCTGCAAAGAATTGAACGAAGTGCACGCGCGCGCGTCGTCGCGCGCGCATGCCGAAATCCTTCAAAGTCGAGTGCCCAACACACGTACAAAAACACAGTGTTTCGCAACACGTATGTTCAACAAAAACGTGCGCACGCGCTCTTGCGTCGTCGTCGTCGTCGTCGTCGCCGTCCCTCCTCCCTCGTCGTCGTCGTCGCCGTCGTCGTCCTCTCTCTATCCTCGTCGTCGTCGTCGTCCTCTTTGGCGTCGTCGTCGTTTCCGTCGTCGTTGTCGCCGTGGTCGTCCTTCCTCGTCTCTCGTCGTCGTCGTCCGTCGTCGGCGTTGTCGTCGTCCCTCCTATTTCGTCGCCGCCGTCGTCGTCGTCGCATTCCCTCTTCCCTCGTCGTTGTCGTCGGCGTCGCCGTCCTCCCTCCTTCTTCGGCGTTCGCGTCGTCGCCGTCCTCCCTCGTCATTGTCGTCGTTGTCGTCGTCGTCCTCCCTCCTCCCTCGTCGTCGGCGTCGTCGTCGTTGTCGTCGTCTTCGTCGTCGTCGGCGTCGTCTTCGTCGTCGTCGGCATCGTCGTCGTCGGCGGCGGCGGCGTCGTCGGCGTCGTCGTCGTCGGCGTCGTCGGCGTCGTCGTCAGCGTCGTGGTCGTCGGCGTCGTCGTCGTTGTCGTCGTCGTCGTGGAAGTTGGAGACGCAGTCGTGGTCGTCGTCGCATTCCCTCCTCCCTCGTCGTTGTCGTCGTCGGCGTCGCCGTCCTTCCTCCTTCTTCGTCGTTCGCGTCGTCGCCGTCCTCCCTCGTCGTTGTCGTCTTTGTCGTCGTCGTCCTCCCTCCTCCCTCGTCGTCGGCGTCGTCGTCGTTGTCGTCGTCTTCGTCGTCGTCGGCGTCGTCTTCGTCGTCGGCGGCGTCGTCGTCGTCGTCGGCGTCGTCGTCGGCGTCGTCGGCGTCGTCATCAGCGTCGCGGTCGTCGGCGTCGTCGTCGTTGTCGTGGTCGTCGAAGTCGTTGGAGACGCCGTCGGTGTCGTCGTAGTCGTTGTCGGCGGCCTCGTCGTCGTCGTCGGTGTCGCTGCCGTCGTCGGCGTCGGTGTCGTTGCCAAGTGCCATTTAGTATCTACCGTCACGTTCGTAAGAGGTCGTGCGACCAAGTTGCGGGTGGGAAGGCGGGATGTTTGCACGAGCAGTGGAGAGGACATTTTCAAGTTGAGCAAGTGATTGTTTGCACCACATACATTGTACTACATAGCATCACGTGGATTGCATTGCGTAGCTTGCAACTCATAGATAGCCATGCGTATATTGCACAGACACTGCACCAGAGGTATTACGCATCCAGGGGTGATATCACAATGTTGGGGTTCGATGGTAAACATCTCGTTCATATTTTCTCGTCAGATTGCTAGCCTGCCAGTTGTCATGTTATTATGGTGGGGATTTCCCTTCCATGCTTGAGTGATCCCGAGTGGCCATGAAGTGTTTCATCTCGAGTGGCAAGTTGGCGGCCTCCTACGGCCACTCCTGGACGCCCTGATGTGGGGTCGCACGGCACCTGGAAAAAACAACTCTTCAGGAGCTCTGAGTGTACCCAAAACCACAGACTTTGTGGAGTCCCACATTCTTGATGGATCTTCCAGGGTGGCGCGTAAAGGACTTAGGCTTGGGCCCCGTGGTGACCTCTCTGGGGCGCGCGTGCGTGCATGCATGCGCGCGCGTGGTGGCGTCTTGGCGCGATCCCGAGTGTTCCAGTCTGGAACGGCGTTCCCGCTCGAGCGGCACGTGAGCATTCCTTATTAGTCGTTTCTCAGGAGGGGGAACAAACACACAGACACAAGTAATCGTCGATTCCCAGGAAAATATGGGAAAATTATGGGGGGAGGAAGACGAAAACCCCAAAATGTTGGAAAACATGGGGAATCCAGTTATTTGTGTGTGTTTGTTTGTGTGTGTCCCAGGGCCCCTTCAGTCTCGCCGTTCGGCGCGGGTCCTCGGCCCCCGCCCTCGCCGCAGACCAGGCCCCGGCTGTGTCGGGGCAGCAGCCTCCACCAGGGGAGGTCCAGCGCCGAAGGCCGGGCCCGTCGGTGCCAACGTCGTTGTCGTTATCCACGTCGCCGTTGTCGTTGCTGTCGCCTGCGGCCGAGTTTGTCGTCGTCGTCGTCGTCGTTATCGTGTTTGTCGTGGTCCTGGTCGCGATCGTAATCGCGGTGGTTGTCGTGGGCGTGGTCGTGGTGGTCGTGGTCGTTGTCGTGGTCGTGGCACCCCTTTGGGAGTGCGAATCGCTGATCCGCGCGACGGTGCATCATTTTTTTTGGGGGGGGGGGCTCTCGAGAAAGTTCAGACGGGCCTCCAGGGCGTCAGGCGCGGTCAGGACAAACATCGTCCTGCACGTCGCGTGCGGAACCCTGCACAGACCCTGCACGCGCCATGGGCGAATCGCTTGCCAAGAGCCTGGCCCCCGCAAGCCAGGCCCCCACAGGCAGACCCGCCAATCAGATCGACTGAGCACCAGCCTGGAGCGAGACCCCACATGCCCCTTCGGCGTCATGTCGAAACTTGGAGTAGAAGAAAACGCTTACACGTCCGTGGCTCCGCAAATGTGGCCGCTTGTGAGGATAGGTCGCGTGGGAGCGCCTGCGTTGTGCGCAATGCAACTTGAACCGAGATTGCAGGTACAGTGCAAGGTGCATCTCGGTAGAATTGAACTATTCCCCGCCCTGGATGTTTCATGTGCATTGGCGATGGCGGTGGTATCCGCGGCGCCCATTTTGACCAGGGGCATACCTGGCCCGCGGGAGGACAATTACCTCAAGTACTTCACCGACAGCTTCGTGGAGGGCCAGAGCCGCTCCTGCTCCACGATGGTGCGCCCCGAGACTTGGGTGGAGAAGGACATTGGCGGCGCCCACAAGGGGATGGAGCCAGGGGGGGTCGTCTAAGAAGGCGGCGGGGCGTCTCAGAAGGCAAGGGGGGCGTTTTGGAAGCCCGCCTTTCCTCTAGGAAGCCCTCTCAGAAGCCGAACGGGCTTCTCAGAAACCCCTCCCCGTCCTTCCCAGAAGCCCCTCCGCCCGCCTAACCGACCTCCTCGTGCTCCTGGCATCGCTCGGACGTGTGCATTTGTTTCTCGGCGAGGACCCTGGAGGAGCATCCTGGACCCTCGAGCAAAAAAAACACGCACGACACCGAAACATGCACGGGAACTGGACGTCCGAGCGATGGCAGGGAGTGCCACCTTTCTTGCGGGCGCTGCCGAGGACGAGTACCTCAAGTTCATGGGGCGCGGCATCCGGGAGCGCGTCGCCGGGGGCTTCCACTCCATTCGGGGGTGGACAGAACCCCCAACAGTGACACGTCGATTAGTGAATTGTCCGTTTTCGGTTCTCGAGAGGGCGCCGTGGCCATCATTTTCCAGGCTGGCGCCCGCCAGGCTTGGGCCTCAGGTCGTTTTCACTAAACCACGGTTTACTAAAGCGGGGTCTGTCCATCCCCGATCCATGGCGCACATCGCGGCCCCGCCCTGGGACAGGATGTACGTCGACTGCATGCAGGCGGCGGGGCAGCAGACGGCAGGATCATACAGTCAAGACGCTGAAATAAGGAAGAGTTTGGGTAAGAAAGGGGCTCGATATTCCTTAGGTCCTTCCATGGCTTTTCCTCTAGCCTTCCTCGTGCACGCAGGCGCTTGTGGGGCCAAAAAGGGGCTTCGTTCCTTGTTTATTGTTCCTTCTTTCAGCAGCCCGACTGTAAACGTTCCCAGACCCACTCGCGCCGTGTAAAAGTCACGACGGAAGATGTTTTGGTATTTTCGGCCGCTGGATGTTCTCGTCGGGCCCCAGAGATTGTCGAAAAGGCACTCCGGATGAAAAGTTGGTCCATGGACATGGGTCGAGACCTTTTTGGGGCCAAATTTGTGATAAATGCGTTTGGCGATCCGACTGGCGACCATACGATTCGGAAATACTTGGGGTGGTCGCAGCGCCCCATTTGAAAGTATATTCTTGGTTCGTCGTCGTCGCCGTCGAGGCCGCCGGACCGCAGCCAGCGACCCAGACGGTAAATGTGGAATAGTGCAATCGCCCTTGTCCGATGTGTGGTTTCATCGCCTGGTCGCATGAAAATGTGGGCATGAAGACTGTTGGGTCGGCGCTGGGCCTGCCCTGGCGCCCGAAGCGCGCCAGGGGCGCCGGGGTCTGGCGCCGATCCAAGAGCTCCGCGCGGCGAGCGGGAGTTGAGGCCGCTCGGGCGCGTGAGCCGCAGCCCCTTTGTCTGCAGGCACCCATGCCAAGAGCTGCGCTTGGAACCCACGGCGCCCGACGGCGCACTCTTTGAGAGCTGCCACAAAAGCTGAAAGGCCAGAAGGCAGAACAGGCACCTATTTAGCACCAGTCACCTTGGGAGATTTTCCTGCCCCCCAAACTGCTGCGCGATTTAGGGGCGATGAAATCTGAAGTGGACGGTTTAAGCATCCAGCCCCCGAGCCGAAGCGCACAGGCGGCCCGCTCCGACTCACCTCCCTTGCGCAGGCCGACCCCTCCCCCTCCCAGTGGTCTTACAATCAACACGCACACTGATGGTGAGCAATTCTTCACGCCTCGCGCATCCACACCAGTGTTTCGCTTGCCTCTCTTTTCTTGCTGTCTAGTCGCGGCCCGACTAGTGTTCGGACGGCTTTCGACCTGCTTCGCGAGCCCGCAGACCAAAAAGTATCCGCACCAGTTGCTCGTAGCCCGAGCCGACCTGTGACGCCGCCGGCGCTTTCGCCTGCGGCTGCGACAAAAAAGTATCCCCACCAGCCTTTGCGGCAGTTTCGGCGGCCGCTAGTTCGCGCGCTTAGGTAATTAGGTTTGGCTCGTAGCCCGGGCTGACTTCGGACGCCGCCTGCGCTTTCAAAAGCCTTGGCCAAAGGGACGAAGAGACTCAAACAAAGCGAGCAACCAGGGTGAACCGAGAGATCTCTGGGAGCAAGGGGGGGGCCTTGGAAGGCCTCTTCGGGCCATCCCTGCGGGCCGCGTGGGGGCGAGGGGAAGAGGAGAACGAGGACGAGGACGAGGAGGACGAGGAGGACGAGAAGGCGGATGAGGACGAGGACGAGGAGAACGAGGATTAGGATGAGGACGACGCGGACGAGGACTCATGGAACCATCTAGAGGTATTGTTGCGGTTGTTGCTGCTGCTGTTGCTGTTGTTGTTGGTGCTCTCTGGGAGTTTGGGGGTTCCTTTTTGGAACCCTCTTGATAACCCTGGAAGGTTTCTTAGGATCATCTTGGACACCATCGGTTACAGGATGGGGGGGGTCCCAACTCAGCTCCCCCCCCAGGAGCCCGCTAACCGCTTCTTGGGGCTCTCTTGGAGCGCTCTTGAAGCGATCTTGGAGCCGTTTGGAGCACCTTGGGAGCCATATTGAGCCAGCTCGGGCTATCTGAGCCATCTTGGAGGTCATCTTGGGCTCTCTGAGACCGCTCGGGGGCCTCCTGGGGGCCTCTCGGGGGCCTCTTGAGGCTGTCTTGGGACCCTCTTGGGACCCTCTTGGGGCTCTCTTGGGCTCTTTTGGGAGCCCTGGAGCGCCTCTTGGGGCCGTCTGGGAGACCATCGATCAAAGGAGGGGGATCCTAGATTTGCCTTCCCCTCCGGGGCCATCAACATCGCCTCTTGGGACCCTCTTGGAGCGCTCTTGGGGCCGTTTTGGGCGCTCTCGGGGCCGTCTTGGGGGCCTCTTGGACCCCTCTTGGAGCTTTCTTGGGCCATCTTGGGGCCATGTTGAGGCCTCAAAAGCGCATCGGAAGCGAAAAGGCGAGAAGGCAAACATCATGGATGTTCTTTGGATGGTTGAAGGGTTTTGGCTTCTCGGGAGGGCCCCGAGGGAGCTCCGAAAGCACTTGGATCCGTCTTGTGGCCTTCTTGGGGCCTCCTGAAGGCATGTCGAAATCTGTCTTGAACCATGTTCGGCTATCTTGAGCGATCTTTGAGGCCAGGTTGGGCTCTCTGAGGCCCTCTTGGAGCCATCTTGGGCCATCTCGGGCGCTCCAACAACCCCCCGTCCAGGTCCAGGGGAGGGGGGAGGGGGAGGGGTAAGCCCCTCCCCGAAGGGGAAGAGGGGTTTTTGGAAGAGGGAATATCGTTAGACCACCTGTCGCCCAGAGAGCTTGTGGGAGTTCCCAAGGTTGCCCTTGCATCCTTCCCCTTCGGCCCATCCTCGGCTGCTTTCGCAGGCCGCGCCCCGCTCGCAGAGTGTCAACACGGCCTTCCAAGGCCTTTGCATCCTCATCGCGCGTCCTTACTATACGGGTCGATTGGAACCCCAGCCCCTCGTGATGGAGGAGGAGCGGTCTCTACAGCCAGGCCTGGTTAGTATACCGACCCTGCAAGCTCAAGGGTGCCTTCTGTGTCTTGTCTGCAATCAAAATCCAGAGTGATAACGCACTGCTTCATCAAGACTGCCCTTGCATCCCTGCTTCGTCGGCTCATCCTGAGCCAATGTTGACGCATTTCGAAGGGTCTTGCATCCACGGTGTGGACGTCTGACTGTGTCGTATTTCATGCGTTGTACATTTCTGCAGCGCGGGCATCCTCTCAGACGCTCTCTGTATGCAGCCCCGAATGTAGAAGGCAAGGCGTCGTCCGACGCGCCGTGTACCCAGGACAATTTGGTCACCAGCGAAGCGGACAACGTTCGGCCGAACAACAGAACAACACAGTCTACCCCCCCTTCTCTCACCCCTGCACACGCATGCTCGCGAAGGACAGCCAGGCCCCATCCCACCTCCCCGCGCGATCCACCTCCCCACGCTTGCGAAACCATCCAGAGCATCCTTGAGATCCGACGTTGTGAAAAATATTGAGTCGCGAAAAATCAAGACTGGAGCTCCAGACCCCATTTCTCTGCTTCGCTGTTCTGGCCGGATCGACCTGTGATGGCCTCGGGGCCCGAAACCAGGCGAAAACGTTTGTTGTGAAAAGCAGATGCGACGCCCGAGGAGGAGGAGGAGGAGGAGGCCGTTTTCTGGTCCTGGCAGACTCTCTCTTGCCGGCCGCTCGAGTACGAGGCGCCGCTCGTCGTGATCGAACCCGCGGCGGAGCAGCGGGCGCTGCCCTTCATCAGGACGCGCGGCTGGCCCCGGCCAGGTCGGGACCCGCTGGGGCGGGCGGCGCCCCATGAGGGCACCACCCTAGACTTGCCCCGCCTCCTGTTTTTCCTCTTCCTGCTCCTCCTCCTGCTCCTCCTCCTCCGATTCCTCGTCATCCCACAGTATCACCCCAGAATTGCTGGCGTCGTGCAAGCATCCCGCCGTTAGGTGTTTGGACAGTTTTCGGCTTCTACAGGCTCTCGCTGGGCCCTAGGACCGTGAAAAACGACTCGGGTTGAAAAATCAGCCCTGGGGAATGGGTCGAGAGTTCCAGGGACCTCGCACTGAAAAAATCAAGACATCGGACTGTTGGGCCCTCGTCATCCCACAGTGCTGTCGGACCGAGGTATCAGATCAAGGTCGGTTCGGGGAGGGTACCCTCATGTTGCTCGTGTTTGTTGGATGTTCTTGTACATCCTGGGGAGGGTACCCTTGGATGTTCTGTGTGTTGGCTGGCGGCGGGTCTCATGGTCTTGAAGGATGTTTTTGTCCTTGGTCCGACCATTTGATACAGTGTGTACAGTTCCACATGACGCAACAGGCGTAGTGGCGAGTCGAGCCGATCCGTTCCGATCGGAGCCTCGTCATCCTCATCGCGCGGGCCGAGGGTGCTCGCACCGCGGCACTTGGGCGCCACAAGTGTTATGTTCCAACTTACTTGAGCCTCGATCACTAGAAAAAATGTCGAGCACCATACCGAAACTGAAGGGACTTCACTCGGTGGGCCCTGGGAGGCGCTACTCGTTCGACACTTCAGCAGCGTGTGGGCCAGACACTGTTTCGATATTTTCTGGCTGCTCGAAATCATTCCTGGGATGTGGTCTTTTAGTACAACGGGAACAGCAAATCGCAAGTGGCGGGCGTGGGTCCTCCTCCGGGGACGCGACAGGGGGTTGCGCGAGCTGGGCTCTTCTTGGAAGAGCCCGGAGGCTTCTAAGGAGGCTTCCAAGAAGCCCTTTGCCCTCTCAGAAGCTGCCCGGCTTCTGAGAATGCCACGCCCCTCGCGCCACCCCTTTGGCGCCACCAATTCCTCCTCCTCCTCCTCCTCCTCCTCCTCCTCCTCCTCCTCCTCCTCCTCGCGCTCGCCCTCGCCAGGATACCAGAGGGAGCGCGGTTCCAGCCGTGCGCGAAGGACGGGCAGATGTGCACTTGCACCGGCGTCGCCAAGTTCGGGCCAGCCGCGGAGAACAAGAAGCAGTCTGCGCTGGCTCACGTGGAGGCCGACCCTGGTCAGATCAAGTGCTGTGGGTCAACACTCGGGGGCGGAAAAGAGGGGGGTGATGACTAGAGAGGGTGGATATCATGGCGGGGGCCATGATATTTCCTCAGATTTCATGGCGCCTCTTCTTGTTTCATTACGTCCCTGGCCTCTCCGCTGGGCCGCGCACATGCCGCCGGTCATGATTTGCACCCTCCCCTCTTGGACACCCCCCTCTTGGCCGCTCCCGAAACACAGGCCGTCCAAATGGAGTCGACGAGATGAGGTCGAAAGATCGAGCTGCATCGCCGATGCATCGGCGCTGCGGCTCGATTCGGAGCTCGATGTTGGCCATCGCGGCGTCGCCGACGCAGCGGCGATGCGGCGCTACTTTCCAACCCCATCTGCTCGGACACCATCTCGATGGTTTCCGAATAGTGAGGAACGAGGTGGACGAAGGAGAGGAAGATCAAGAAGAAAAAGAAGAAGAAGGAGGAGAAGGAGGAGGAGAAGGGGAAGGAGGAAGGGTGAAGAAAGAGGAGCCAGATGAAATAGAATACAACTACCGCTGTTGTGCAGGCCGACCCACCTGTTTCCGGCGTAGCACTTGGGTGGGTCTTGCTGTGTTGACGTGTGCCACTGAGGTGCAATATTGACACCTTTGGCGAGGACCCCGCTCACGGCACCGCCAAGAGCTGCTTCTGCTACTGGAGTGTGTGAGCCCCCGCGCTGGGAAAACCAAAGTATCCTTCCCTCCCAAGGTTATCCGCGCTTCAGAATCCGGTTGCCAAATCCATCCGCTCTGCCAGAAAGCGTGTCTGTCCTTCCGGAAATTCTGCAGCGTTCCGAATAGGAACCCATGACACATTCAGCGTGCATCATTCAATGAACAAATTACAAGCGTTCCGAGAACAAGCTTCGTAAGCCCCAGAAACAAGATTGACCAAAAACAATGCGCGAATGACTCACAAATAAGTTGCGATCGTTCCGAACAGAATTTGCAACCGTTCCAAATCTGCGATTTCTCCAGACTCACAGTGGAATACATCATCCCGGATCGGGGGGAAAATTTAGTACGGAAATGTTGATGATTCGATTGTCCAATTAGTCGGCCGCTGGGCTTCCCAGAGGCAAAACACGATGAACATTTTTATTTTGAAATTTGATGTTCCAACGGTCGCCCAAAAAACAGTTTGGAGCATTTTCATAGCTCGAAATTCGGTCGGTTGGCCGCGGCCGTGGGGTTTTTGAGGGAATGCCGTGACGAAGATTCAGAATTTCGGCATTGTGGTTGGACAGTCCCAGCCCTGACCGGCAGATCTCCGCCGCGCGGGTTTCCGTCAAAACATGCCAACGTTAAATGTTCATCGTGCCTGATTTCGTGAGAACGGGTTGCGTGAGCGCCGATACGTTTTTGGATACGGATACGGGTGCTGGCGGATAGAACACCGGTGTGGGTGGATACGGACACCAGTAAAGGTAGATATTGAAACTCGTGTGGGTGGATACAAAATACGAAAGTTGGAAAACAATCGTCGGGTTATAATTACTGCCATTTGTCCATTCATGTCGCTATCGCCGAGGCGTCGTCGGCAATGCAGGGCTATACCGAAGCCAGAACATGTTGAGATAGGTTAGGAGTAGGTTCAAAGTTTGGAAGAAATTCGTAAGTCAATAGGTTCCAGGAAGAAGATTCAAACCGCACCAAAAAACGCTATTGGATATATAGCCGCCCACAATTGAATTTGCCAAATCGCATTGGCGAAAATAGTGCGGCCATTCAACTTGGCAAAATACATCGGGCAGTAGTAAATTTGGGAAGTCCATTTGGGGATGTGTTCCGGCCGCGGTAACGCCAAGCCAAGGAAAAATCGTCAAAAGTACATCGCAAACAGGATCTGCGATAGATCTCGTGCGATAATCCCACGAGCACGAAACGTAGACCATCGGTTGAACGAGAGCGGCAACGGTGATGACCCTTGCAAAACAGAACCGCCACAAAACACAACCATAGCAATGAATGGTTTGGCCAGCATTTCCAGCAACTGGGACTGCGAGCAACATTCTTCAAGGCGTCCTGGACAAGCTAGACCGCCACCACTACAGAAAACCCTCGAACCGAAAAACGTCGAAATATGTCCCGGCGAGATTCGGGCACGCCCTGGCCTCGATACCACGTCAGCAAAAATCCCTTATACGCCGCCAGGACCAATGATCGCTGGGATCTCTGGCCGCTGTGGCTTGCGAGGCAAAGATTGCCGAAATTGAGAGCCAAAAAAAACTCGGCTCCTCCTGCTCTACCCGCCTAATTCTGCAACAGTTTCCCGCCACCCCTGGTCATCCTCCGCCCCGTTTCCTCTCCTATTGCTGTCGCCGTCCCCAAAGCGTTTTTTTCTTTCTTTTCTCCTCCTCCCCCTGCCTCGCCACCCTTCCCGCATCCCCCCTTTGCCGCCGCTCCCCCCTTTTTGCCGTCTGGACCCAATAGCTGTGGTTCACTCTCGAGCAGTACAGGGTTGCGTCGTGCCACCCCTGGGGGATTCGCGCCTTGCGGGGGCAACTTGGAAGTGTTTTTGGTTGCGGGATACTGCGCAAAAGCGTTTTGGGGCGTTTCTGGGAAAAGCTCCGGCAATGTTACATGTAAAACAAATGCATCACAAACCATTCAACATGGCCCCTCCTTCTCCTCTTCCTCCGCCACCGTTGGTCATTAGGTTCCGTCCCCCCCCAATTGGCTCCCCGCCCTCTCCGTCGCCCCCCTTTCCCAACGGCCTCTAAGAAAGTCCGAAGAGAGGCCGAGGGGCCCTGAAAGGGCCCAGGAAGGCCCCAAAAAAATCCCACGAAGGTTCCAAGAGCGACCCCTGTGAGCACCTGGCGAAGCCCCGCCTGCCGGAGCTCGAAGCGACACTGCCCCGCGCTTCCCCGGGCCCCCGAGACACCTCCTGAAACGATATCGGAGAACCTCTGGAAAGCCACAAGAGAAACCCGGGAGGGTTCCAACAGGACAGCGAGAGGCCCCAAGTCCAAATCGCACCGCGCGATTTGAAATCGAACAACCTTGAGACCCCATTGGGGGGGCCTCTCGGAGCCCCCTCGGGGCCCAACACTGCCTTGGAGGAGCCAGAGAAAGACCTTGCTGGGCCCGGAAGGACTCCGAGAGGACCCCAAAAGGGCATTATGACCGAAGACGGCAACTGCAACGCATTCCCTTGTGCCCCCCCTCAAAATAACAACTTTCAATGTCCTTCCGGGGCCCTTTTGGATTCGCCTTAAGGCTTCCAAAACACCGCAGCACTGGGCCGAAGAAGGCCCCCATGGGGGCACCAAAGGCGCTCCAAGAAGGCCCCGAGGGAGTCCAATAAGGCGCCCATTTCCAAATCGCTCCGCGCGACCTGAAATAGCGGCTCTTCGGGGCCCAGGCGGGGGGCCTCTCTGGGCCCATTTGGGGCGCGCAGAAGTTCCCGGAGATCACCGACGAGCTTGCACAGCGGAGCATATGGAACATCCCCCCGGAACGCTTCCCCGGCGCTTCTCGAGGCCCCCAACGCGCCTTCGCGCCATCCCGTGGGGGCGCTCTCACAGCCGCGAGAGAGCTCCAAGATGGAGCCCGTTTTGGCCCGTCTTGGGTCGTCTCGGAAGTCGCTCGGGCCGTTCCGAAGCCATTTGAGCCGTCTGCAAGGTCTCGCGGGCCCCCTTGGCGGCATCTTGGGCGCGCCCGCGAGCTACCTCAATGCGCTTGGTAGCCTCGTTGGGGGGGAACCAAGCGCGCCCGCCCTCCTGCCCACCCTGCGCGCCCTCATCCCCCCGACCGCCCAGCAAGGCCCCCACCCCCTCTCTCCGACGCGCTCGCTTGTCAACGACGGGTGGCGGATGAACAGGAGCAGGGACAAGGCCCTCAAGCCCTTCGCGCAACCCGTCGGCCCCCGAAGTGCCCGCGTCTGAAGCCCCGTCCACCGTCGGGGGCCACGGGGGGATAAACCGCGACCCCCAACGGCGCCCGCGGAAGTGGCCCACAATTGCGAAGCCCAACGCTGGCACCCCAAGACCGCGGCACGATTGACGTTGATCATCGACTTCGGGGCGGCGTGCGGCAACAAATGCAAAATGCGATAGAACCAACCCGTCCGCGCTCCGGCGAACCGCGCGTGGATTCGGCCGCGGTGCATTTCGTGCCCGAGTCGGCGCCCGAATGATGTGCCCGAATGGAAGCGATAATGTGCCCGAATGGCATTGGCATGAAAGCGATCATGTGCCCGAATGGAAACAATAATGTGCCCGAATGGACTGGGTGGAAAACGATTCTGTGCCCGAATGGAGAATTGTGTGCCCGAACAGAAACCATCATGTGACTGAATGGATACGATGATGTGCCCGCATGGAAAAAAAAGCAAACCGCCGGAGACATCCTCCTAAAATCAAATGACTCGGGCACGCCAAGACGACCGCATTGATTCGGGCGTCGATTTGGGCACCGATTCGGGCACCGATTCGGGCGCCGATTCGGGCACCGATCGGCGGCGGCCCCGTGCACTTCCGACCCGTCAATTCGGGCACCATTCGGGCGCGGCTAGGCGAAACGTGGGCCGACGGCAAGCGCGTCGGGGAGTCGGTCGCGCGAGCGCCGCATTCGGGCACGCCGTGGCGGTTGCGGCGGCAGCGGCAGGCGTCGGCGCAGCGGCGGCGGTGCTGGCCGCTGTAACCCCATATACTTCATGCACTCGCACAGGGTCGACGATGCTTGCCTTTTCGCCTTCTCGCCCGCGCGGTTTTGCTGAGGCTTGGAAAAGGCCCCGATGATGCCTGCAATAAGACTTCTGGAAGGCACGCGAGAAATCGCGGGTGGCCCGAACAGCGCCCGTGGGGCCCACGACGGCCCGATTTACATGCTGAAGCACTGGTTTTTGCCCCCTCATTGCCCCCACCCGGCCGCCAAACCCTCTCCCGATGTCTCCGCCCCTCCGCCTTTTACCGAATCGTGCGCCGCGCTAGGCCGATCTAATTCGTGGCCCGCCGTGGGCCCCGACGCGAGACTTCCTGGGCCCAAAAAAGCACCCTGGAGCCCTGCGGGGCCCTCTAACCTGGAACTCAGAAGCTCCTGAAACACAGCCCACGTCGGCAGACCCGTCACGCGAGGCGCATGCGCGCGCGTCGCCCCCACGCGGCGCGCGCAGGCAACGAAGCCGCAGCAGGGTTTTCCATAAGTCGAGGAGGGGCGCTGGCAGCAGCAGGAAAGGGCGGAGGAGCAGCAGGGAGAAGACCGATATGTGGAGACGTCACAAGCAGTGATTAAGAGGGCAGCCGCAATGGCAACGGCAGGCGCGAGGTGGAAACAGGCTACGGCCCGACCCCCCCTTCCGACATCTCCCTTGCCCGTTACTTTTGGCCCCCCCGTTCCTGCCCCTTCCCCCTCCCCCCTCCCGGCGCCCGTTCCGGCGCGCTCTGAACAATTCTTGACGCTTCGCGTATCCCCACCAGCCCATCCAAGCGTATGAAACGTGGATTGCATAAGCGATTATGCCCCTACGTTTGGGAGGGGTGGGGTCGCGGAAGTCTTCGATATATTCCGCCATTTGGGCAAACATGCTATCACAATTACTTGCTAAATTGCCAGAGGTCACTAGAATTATGGTGTAGTCGTTGACTATTCTGCAAGCTGGGAGGGTTTGGCGGGCCCGAATCTCTGCTTAATGTGGAACTGGGTGGATCTCACTGCGAAACCGCTG